CTGTGACAGATGCTGCCACTATGAAGGCTGTCATTCCTGCACATAAGAACATAGAATAGATTCCTTTGTGAATTGGGTAGAATTGCTCATAGTGCTGCTACAAGGGAGCACCAGTGTTTTTCAGAATTATGAAAAGCCAGCATCACTTCTGTGCTGAGAAGAAGAAATGTTGTGCATCTTTTTCAGCTGGTCACTGGCAGTTGATAGTACTTTTGTCTTGGGCTTATTTCCAGTTAGCACCTCTAACTCTTTCTGAAAATAAGACTTCACATCTGCACCAGCAACACTAGTACTGAATCCATGATTGTAAATGCACCATTTCCCAGAGTTCCAGTGTTGTATTCTGTCTGCATTTAATCTGTCTCTCCAGGAACTTGAGAAGCAGGCACACAGGCTTTCTTTGGGTTTTCAAAAGGTTAAATAACCACTATATGAAGAAATAGAAAGACAAGATACTAAAAGTATCTGTACTGATTTCCTTGCCTAGCTTCTGTCACCACTTTTGGGAGTACTGTCAGTCTTCTAAGGAGAAACATGAATCTCTGACAGACATATGTCTTCAGCTCTGAATCCTGGAGTGTGTGCATGTTGCATGTGTGCCTTTCTCTTCCATGTAGACTTATTTTGTCTGTGGCTGATCCCCCTAGTTGAAAGGGGAAGCAGGAAGATTATAACAAAGCTAAATTCAGTGTTGCTTTGAACAGATTACCAATGTTATTTGAGATTTTATTTTTAAAGCCAACTTGGGTATGAGTACTGCAGTTGCTTGTGCAGTTACAATGGAAACCTGTTTTAGGAGAAGTCGTTATAAACACTTTTATCAACTCCTTATTTTTGTTGTTTCCAAGGAAGTTCTGTTACTTCAGACTACCCCTTGCTGACAGATGTAGCCAGTCTGTTTTTCAGCCACTTGGAGGAACCCATTGGGGTTTACCAGCTGTCCCTACTATGGGAGACAAGCAGCAGACACTTTATAGAAGCTGGGTGACTCCAGGTGCTCCAGTGGCAACTAAACTTAGAGCAGATTCATCCATCCAATTAGGATCTGTAAATTGCATTAAAAAAAACTTCTTTTCAAATTGTCCCAGCATGTTTACACAGGAAAACTCTAAGCCACTTTCAGTTACCTATGCATTTAAGGAATATAATGGATAATTAGAGAATTAAGCCTAATGAGGGTGACAAATCTGTTGTTTTTCTTACCTAGCCAGGGTTCTGAACTAGCATTGCAGGGAAGAGAGCTTGCTAATCATTTCAAGGCTGAAGGAACTCCAGTTATGATTGGTAAGTGCTCAAGTATCGAAGAATGCCAATGAAAGTGCATGGCCTCGGCATGCTGAATTTCATTTCAGTTAGAACTCATTCAGTTTACTGTACAACAGTTAATCAAAACTCTAGAAGAATTTAAAATTACACTTTTTCCAAGGGAGCTTGGAATATGATGCAATTTAGTCTGGCTGGTATCTTTTCATTCGGTATTCCTCCCAAGCTCTGTATTAAACCTGGTAACAAAGGTCAATCTAAATGGTGTTCTTAAAAAACTGCTGTTAAAGCCAGAACTCAGGAGCTGACTTCTGCTCTCTGGAGGAGTAGAATTTTATACAGTTCCTCAAAACTTTCTGTCACAGAAGAGTAGTGTTTGTCTGGCTTTGAAGAGAAGGGTATTATCCAAATTCTTTCTAAGACTAGTTTAAATAAATGCCATTCATAAAACCACTGTAAGTTTAATTGAACTATTTCCAAGACACCTGTGGTTTGGAAAATGAAAAATACTGAAAATACCATGTTCAGCTTTATAAAATTTTGCTTTTAGCAATTTTTGCAATCTGGCACTCCATAGTGTTAATCCCTCAAACTAGAGGTGTCAGAAGTCCAGATTTTTATATGAAATATTCTTGGCCTTTCAGCAGCCTTTCTGTCTGAATTTCAAGAATTTAGAATCCTATATTGAAAAAACCTTGGAGTCTGTAACTTATCCTTCCCTGTAATGCTCTCTTGTAGATTGGTTTAATTTGTTGTTGTTGGAGGAGGGGAGATTGGCTTTTTGGGGTTGGTTGGGTTTTGGTTCTTTTTTTTTGCTTATGTACTTTTGGGTTTTGCAATTCCTATGTGTTTTGTGGAGTTGTTACTACAGTATTTCAGTGATGTAAACTCCTCATGCTATCTGAAAGAAACATGCAAGAGTCAACCTGTGGCCAGTTCATCAAAACATCCCCTTTCCCTGTTTGCAGGCTAGAGAAGGAGGTGTCAGAAATTACTACTCTGCCACTAATATCCATTGATGGAATTTAGTAGAAAACAGCAGATAACCCTTACCCAGAAATTATGATTTCTGTTCTAATTTTAGTCCTTTTACAAACAGGAAGTTTTCCAGATTCCTTTTCTACAGTTAACTTTTTTTAAAGAAAAAGTAATCAAAACAGATGGTTGAAATATTCTTGACTTCTTCTGATGGAACCCACCTTGCTGACATGGAAGAACTTTGGAAAGTAAATTCTCTAGTTGTAGTAAGTAAAGTGAAATAAGTAATATTCCCTAGTTGTAGTAAATATATGTTGCTTAAAAATGAGAAGATTCTTATGTAGGACAGCTTCAGAATAATTTTGATAACCAAGCTAATCAGTTAATAGAAAGTGTTGATGTACTTTTATTTTAGGCTTACACATTTAGCCAGTATCAGTGAAAAATTTTTAGCAATTTTTGTTCCTCTATTTTAGGTGGAGGTGTTTTGGCTCACACAATATTAGGAGTGGCTTGGAATGAGATTACAGGGCACATAAAATACTTGATTCTAGACCCACATTACACTGGAGGAGAAGATCTGCATGTTATTTTGGAAAAGGTGAGGCTTGATGCACATGCACATATATATAAATATACACACACACACATACACGTATATGAATGTATACACATGTATTTTAGCATAAAACCAATAATGTACAGCCAAATACAAATTGGTCTTTCTATGGCTTCTCCATTCCTGTGGAGAAAGTGCTGACCCCAGTTAACCTGCATATATGCTGCTTATTGTTAGTTTCTGAAACTTAAGTGTCTTTGGAGAAGATATGTTGGGTCAGCAACTTACTATAGTACAAATAAATGTTCTTTACTTTCTCTGAATTACACCATCTCCCCTTTTAGCCAGTAGTATATACAGTAAATGTGTTTGGTACTTTGAATGGAACATTAAAATCTGTTCAGCCTGTAAAATGCTGTTCCTGAAGCAGAGAAGATAACCATTTATTTAAAATTTTAAAAGATGTTTTTAAAAATCCAACACTAGGCATTCTCAGATTTGTCCTTGAACCAATTTTAAAGGGCAGGTACTGAGTGGTTCTGAGAATCTGGGAAAACTAAAGAACTAAAGGGTATGTAATGTTATTTCCATATTTAAAGCTACTAAAAGGGATGACACAGCACATTACCTTTCTGACACTAAGTTTTCTGTTTTGTAAACTCTGAAAGTAGCCAAATCATCCTGTAGGTGTTAGTAATCAATTTATTTTCTGTTCTTCACATTAAAAGTTGCTGTTTGCAACTTATTTTGTATCTGTATTTGATACCCCTTGGGTTGAAGAAACATTTTGCTAGCCTTATGAGGATCAAAGCTTGAAATTAATACAGAAAGAAACAATTACCAAAGGCTGTTACAGAACAAGGTGTTAAGGAATGGTCCAGGATAAAATACATGCAGAACCCCCTTTCCTCATCATCAGTGTCAGGGGAGGAGAGGAACTGAGGTGCACTGTAAATTTGTAGCCCACTTCTTCATAAACACCTCATATAAATTATGTGGTACTCTGCAAACTTAAGAGCTTTGTTACTGTTTTTCTGCTAAATCTTGATCAACAGCACACCTGATATTAAATGCTCTGTTTGGCTCTAAAATACCTACTGTTACCAAAGAAGGCAAGGGTTCAAGACAAGAGAAGTGGAAACTGTGAGAATGATAGTGTTTCAGAATAACATTAGTCTCTCTGTAGCAGCAGAAGGTAACAGATAATAATTTTTAGGAAGGGATACAGGGTGCAGAGGAAGGAAGGGGGGAAGAGAGAGACTCTGTAAAGTCTTTTCCATTACTGTGTTTCTAGGCATGTAGAGAACTTTCTGAAAACTGTGTCACTGCATTCTATAGATAGGTGAAAAGAGTTCTTACAGCTTAGATTAAAATTAGTAAAATAAAATATATCCAATGGTAGTAGGTAGGAAAACCAGAATTCGTAGTAGATTTAAATGGCATCTTGCTTTTTCTTGTACAGGGCTGGTGTGGATGGAAGGGCCCAGAGTTTTGGAACAAGGATGCCTATTATAATCTGTGCCTACCTCAACGACCAAAAACTTTTTAAATTCCACTCTTAAGCTGGAACATGCTAAACCAGAATACTAGCTGATCTATATAGAACTGTCTTGTTATTTATCAAAATATTGCTTTAAGTCAATCAAAACCCAGTTGGAATAGAGATGTTGCTTAATAAAGGTTTTGTGGGTTTTTTTTTTTAAATGAAACCTCCGAACATAACAGTTGTCTGCTGTGAACTGTATTTCTTAAAAATATATTCATTAGGTAACTGATACTCTCTTATTTTGGCTAGGACAACTTTGTTTATATAACATTTTTGTTATGCTAAAATCCTTACAGATTAAGTGCCCTGTCCTTTTATTTTATGGATTTCTTTCTTGCCAAAGAGAGCCTTTCAGGTTCCATACAGCCAGCAGTTCTGTGCACTATGAATCTGTTCAAAGCCAGTATTTGCTGCTAATACTGTTGATAACAGCATTTTAGAAGAGGAGTGGGAGAAAAATGGCTATATGTACTGAATTTTATGAACTTTGTACTCATTTACACAGAAAAAAAAAAAGTGAATTATTATATGCTCATTTATTTATAGCTGTATGAATACAACTGTTCTAGAAAAAAAAAAAATCTACACCACAGTAGTCTTCTGTAAGAAGTAAAAATAAACGAGCTTTCCTCCTTCTCAGAAGGAGACAGTGTACTAGCATACACATCTGGCTGCTCAATGCATAGTCCAGTCCTGTTTCTTCAGACTTCGAATCCTCTTGATTTCATTTTGGTATTACAAGCTGGATCTTTTGTCAGCTAGGAGATGAGAGCTGTCATATGAACAAACAAGAATAAGTCTGTATCTACTCTGTCAGTACATCAGTAAAAGTACCCATGATTTTTATTTCTACCCCCCCATGTTAAAGTTGCCTTTTCAGTTACTTTCCCCATGCACAATCCTTTTTCAATAATAACCTTTACTACCTATGCAAATTGATCCTTACTAGCAGGCTTTTAAATCCAGCTATGTATTTAACACCAAATGTATTTACTTAAATGTTAAAAACATTTAAAAATATTCTGAACTGTAGTAAACAAACAGTATTACATACCATCTGATCGTCTCCTCTTCCTGCTTATGGATCTGCTGGTTTCACTTCCATGTTTCTGTGCAGCTGGATCCTCTCTCAGCAAGCCACGTTTGTCACTTAGTGAGTAGCCAGGCTCTCTTCTCAATTTCATTGTCTGAGTGTGCTGAATTGTTGTGAGGAACTTGGCACATTCCAGAAATCCGTAAGCCAGTGCGAGGTCTGCTGCTGTTTGTCCGCTGTTGTTGCACAAGCTCAAAGACAGAATTAACAATAACCATTCAGTTAAATTGAAATATATTATAAACAACCACAAATCAAGATGAATGAAGTGATAACTTCAGACAGTGGTATGAAATAAGTACAGAGAATCAGTACCAAGAAGGTTTGAGACGGATAGTGCGGGGCTCTACTCAGAGAGGGCTGGTATTAAGTACAACAAGGAATAATTATTTTAAAACAAATTTGTCATCAGACTATGACTGGCTTAGCATATCAGAAAGGCAAGGGGAAGGTGACCACAGCATTAGTCAGAATGGAAAACTAACAAGGAGAACTGTCCCTGAATATTCTCTTAGTGACTGGAGAGGTCTTTAACATGGAACTAAACAACAGCTTATGTACGGTCTATGCAACTTTGGTGTTTATGGAAGTTTTTAATACCACTCTTATGACTATAGTCATGTTATATTTAAAGTCTTCACACACTCTGAACAAAAGTACTGTGTAAAATACATGTATCCTTTGACACTGTTACTGAAATAAGTAAATGTAGTTCAACTTACTCAATTTTGGCATCTCCAGCAACAAGGAGAGCAAGACATTCCAAACTGCCAGCTTTTGCTGCTTTATGAATCGGGGCTTCTCCAAGGCAATCCTAAAAACGCAATTTATATATAGCAGTCATTTGAAGGGAGAGGAATACGGTGAAGCTATCTTGTTCTCCAAGGTGACAGTTTATGGCATGTTACTCTGTATAGCAGTCTCTCGCAAGGTGGGAGAGATTAAAGGAATGTAGCTAGTGAAGTGTACTCAGTAACTGCCATTAAGTGTTTAGTGTATTCATCGCAGCAAAATAGAAATACTTTTCCATAAATACTCATTGTTTAACCTTTATCTTCTAAAAGATTATTTCCACGGAACGTGCTCTGTACACTGATTAACAGCATCTTTCAGCACCACTGAGGGATCGCTGTGCCAAACAGCATGCTGCTACCAGCTCAGAGGTATAAGCAAATGAAATTTTACAGCTAGAGAAAGAATCCTTATGTTTACTGGAATTGCGGGCAAAGTTTCAGAGGAAAAAGAAATACTTGTTTGTATAAAAGAATTGTTTTGACATCTGCATGCAGCACTGGAAGTGTGAAATTTGCATTATATATATCAAGTGAAATTGCTAACGCAATATAGATAGCGTTTCTGGTTCATGCTAGAATAAAGTTACTCTAAAATAAGCCCCGATACCTCATGCCATACATCTGTGTGTATAATAAATCCAATAAATTGGATTTACTGACATGCAGGATTAGAAGTAGGAGAAACAAAACTTCCGTATTTTTACCTGTTGGTTCAAATTCGCTCCTGTCTGCAGCTGCCAAAGTAGGAAAAAGGCTTCACCGCCACAAGCAGCCAAGTGAGCTGGAGACTGACCAAAGGCATCTGCAGGTGCGTTCACACCGGTTCCTGCCTCAAACAGATTGCTGAAACTACCGGCCTAAAATAAACAAGATAGCGGGGGGGAGGCGCACAATGTTATTGCCAGTCTAAGCCACGGCAAGTCTACGAACGCTGCACCGTAGCGGAACACCACCCCCGCCACCCCCCCTCAAAACATCTGAACTTTTTGTCCCTTAAGACTGCCTTTTAAAGGAAAAAAAAAAAAAGCGATCCAAATGCATGGCTTTTTTAGCTTTAGATCTCTTAACCAGAAACCCCGGTGGACACCGGCAGTGCCCCAACACACCCAGCAGCAGCTCCGGGCAGCCTCCGCTCCGCACGGTTCCGCTGCCGGCTCGGCGCGCCCTGCAGAGCGACCTTCCCCACGCCTCACCTCTGCGCCGCCGCCCAGCACCAGCATCGCCTCCCTTGCGCTGCCCG